GATTGAGTTTTAATATCGGTTGTGTGGCAACTGAACGACGTAATTGATAATCATCCAATGATCGGAGAAGTCCTCCAATGGTTTATTAACTGAGAGCGAAGATAATTTAATAATTAAGTTAAAACTTGCAGAAAGATTTTATTTGTAAAATGTTTCAAGCTTTGCTGTGGTTGCTCTTAGCATATATTCATTTCAGAGTTTTAACATCGATATCATGACTATTAAATGACTATTAATATTTATAATTTTTTTTTAATATTTTCGTACATTTAAACGCATGTAGCATTTACAACATATTTAATGAAGATATTCTCTTAAAGTAAATCTTAAAGTTTTGATTTCTTCCTAGTTTCCTTTTGTGACTTTTATTCAATTTTAAGCAACTCCAGCTCACTTTTTCAATACATCTCGCACAACTGATTGTGAGTTACAACAAGAGATTCACAGGGACATGGACCCGTATGCCAAGTGAAGGAACCAGGGAGCGATGCATGCAAATTGGACATTGCACTGATGAGCGATGTCCTATGCTTTGGCGTTAGTTGGACTTTCTGCATTCCTACCCTTCTCTCTGTGCGGTGCACTGGCTTGTTTAATTGCAACTAAAAGCGGAAGCCAACAACAGAGCAGAGTGCAAAATGGCAAAAAGAAAAACACGAATATAACGCTGACTGCTCCTCTGAACTGTGTCAAAAACAAGGGCCAACAGCTGCGAAAAAAAAACAGACACATACAGAAACGAAGCGAAACTAAAGATTCACACACGAGTTTGTTGTTTAGTTCTGGTTGTTTGTTTGTTTGCTTGTCGCCCTGTTTGTTCGCTGTCCGTTGCTTCCTGCAATTTGCACACTGGCAAAGCATCCTCTATGGTCGAGCACATTACAGGTGCGTAAAATTGGTCTTTAAGGATTGTTTAATATTTTCAGTTTTCAGTTTTTATACTTACATTTTTTTTATATTGTAATTATGTTAGATCATTAAATCGTATTACCACTTTCATTTTATTGCATTTCCGTTTTTTGTCATGAATTATAGACAGCTAAGAGCTTATTTATTAATGGTACAGTTTTGAGATAAGGAACTATCTAGAATAAATATTTTATTTGTTTTTTTAATAAATTATAAATATTTGGCGGTCAGTTCCAATACCGTAAGAGATGCTCTTCCTTACGATCATTGGTTTATCCAAGACACAAACCACAGTCCTTATATGGAGACGGCGACATCTTTTCCTATCTTCCGGATGCAGGAGATCTGAGCGGTTGTGTGGGGGTCACAAGGTGAGGTGGCGGGTGTGGGCTGCCCGGGGACAAACAGAAACCGAGTCGGCTTTCCTTTCTGACGCAACATTTTGCATGTTGCATGAGCTGTCTCTTTCCTTCGCTCTCTCCCCTGTCTTCCCAGTCACCTCTTTCCACAACCCTCTCACCTGTGCCTGGCGCATATGTCACTTGTCTAAATAGCAGCGACAACGTTCACCTGAACTGGCCAAACGATGGATGGGGTCAGGGGTAAGGTGGGGTGTGTTGTTGGTGAGGCGAAGGATGTGCAAGGGGAAAAGTGAAATTTGCTGCCGACTGGCCATGCATGCAAATGCAACATTTGCAACTGTTTGAGCCGCTGTTTTCGCATTCACTAACAAGAGGTATTTCAGAATTTTAAAGCTCACATTTTTGATACTTAGGTTTTTTTTGGGTTTCAAGTACTTTTTAAACTGTGTAAGTGATGAATATGGACACCTTATTCATAGTAATCTTATTTGTCTCCTTTTTTTAAATATAATGTATGAACTTTTCTGATTTTAAAGAAAAAATTTATAATCTTTTAAAAAATAATTACCTTTATATATGTATAACCGAGGGTAGTTTACATTACGGTCTGTTAAAACTCTCCAACGTTTTCTTGTTTTTGCAGTTGCTTTCGTCAACAAGGTGGCAACACTGACACCAAGCAACGACACCAACAACCCTGCTGCAACAGCAAAAACATGTGGCCCGACTACACCAACAACCGGCAGTAATTTGGACACCTTGTCTATGTGTGTTTGCTTAGGCGGGCGGTAGAAAGTCGAGAAAGGCGGTGGAGAAGAGCGGAAGTAGAGGGCCAAATGAACATCCAGGGAAAAACAGAAAAAATGGGGAAACAGCCAAAGGCAAATGACTGATTTTTAACACTAGTTGGAGAAGGTTATTTTCTAAAAAATCAAAAGCCCCTATTGAATGTTTTTCATCATTTCTGCCTAAAATCTGCTTTAATGTTAAACATTTAGATATTTTATTACCATTTAAAGAAGTTATCAACATCTACACACTTATTTGTCTTATTGTCAAGTGAATTTTATTTATGTCAATCAACGAATCAAATGGAAACCCTTTTAGCCGTACTTAATCGAGTTTGTCAACGATTTAAGGCATATCAATTAAAGCGGCTCAAAAGATGGCAGAGTGTAATGAAGGCTTTTGTTTTCATCAATTTTCCCTGGCCAGTCATTCATTCAGTTGAGAACTGTCCTTTGGCCTCTGTTTCTTTCTTCTGAAATATAAATATATATATATATATATATATATATATATATATATCTGTTGCTGTGGGGCTTCCCTAGCAGTTCTGCTGATTTTATACATTCAAATTAGTTCGCTTTGCACGAGTGGCACTCGAATGAGAGAGCGTACTGCTGTGATATTTCCCAACCACGGCTGACTGGCCAGGCAACCAACCAACCCGTCGGCACACGGGACTACTGATCCAATCCTACTATATATATAAATATGTATACGTATATATAGTGGGAGCAGGAATGCGGGGGCTATCAAGTTGCCTGTGAAGTGCTTATCCTCAAATCAGTGACACTTGAATGTGCAGCCCAAGTGACTGACCAAGTGCGTGACTGACGGACTGACTGCTGAAGGACTGGTGTTGTCGTCTTGGCTATTTTCTCTTTAATGGTCTTATTTTAATGGTATTTTCAAAAAAATGTGCAATTTTTCATTATTACTAAGAAAATTAAAATGGAAAAATAACTAAGAGCAACAATAATTTTTTAAAAGTAAATAAAAAATAAACATTGTTTTATAGTAATATTAAGCACTAATTCTAATGAACTGATAAAGCTTTCCCAGTAAATATTTCTAACTTATTGAACTTAATAACCACAAAGTAATCTGCCTTTAAATTCCAAAATTTTAATAGAATAAGCTCTTTTATTTCTATCACTAAACATTATATTTTCCAAATAATCCAGCCACCACTGAGGTGGAGCAACCTAACAAAAGTGCGAAAACTTCGTTTCATTTATTTACTTTGCCCTTCGCCTGACGCCTGCCAACTGGAACTGAAACTGGCCAACAACTCGAGTGCTGTTTGTGTCCCTGATTGAGTAACTAAATAAACTTGGTCCTCTTCCCCTTTTTTCTCAGCTCTAAGGGATTTATGAATTCAAGGGAACAGGATATTGATGTCGCATGTCACGAGGCTTAATTGTATAAACTAAAATTCATGTCGATTGTTTTAAAGGTTGAAAAAGGATTAATCTAATAAGTTTGAATAGTTAAGATAATTGTTACATTATACGATATAATATTAATTATAAGAAATATATATTTTTTGAATATTAATAAATCTAAACCTGTAAGCTAATATAAAACCATCCAATATGATGCTTTATGAGTCAAAAAATAAACATGGAAAAAAATCTACTAGAAAGGTCGAACCCACAAAATGGCCATTGGGGTCTGGCCAATAAATTAGCGCAAGTAATTTGCGCAATTAACTAAAAACAGTTGAAACCGCTATTAGTTCGGTTAGCGAAAATTGGTCGATGCAGCGGCGCAAATGCAATGAATTGGCAATAAATTCTCGATTCGCAGCAAGTCGAGGGGAAAGAGCTTTCCATAACCCCTTACACTTTATTTTATTGAATTGCGTGGGTGTGTCGGCAGAGTCAACTAATTTATGTTTTAACACACTCGCACATGCAAATTAGCACACGCACAAAATAAATGCAAATATTGGGGTTCGATGGGGGCTGCCATAATGAGCTCAAGTTGGGAAAACGGGTGAATGGGTCTGAGGTTTCCAGGGGTTCTTTGCGGTTCATCTGGCAACAACTGTTGACAAAATGAAATCAATAAATTTTAGCGCAAATCAATTAAAACACACCAGCCAGATTGAATGAGAGTGCTGGGTGTTTTGCCTTCTTCTTGTTGGCTAAACGAAAATATTTGTCAATTTGCGGTTTTCACAAAATTAAATTTGTCACAAACTCTCACACACATACACGCACAGTGGCAAGGAGAAATGTCCGGATGAGTTTAGGAAATTTTACCTCACTTTGTGTGAAATTTATTCTAATTTATTTATACGGCTTATTAAAATTGTTGTAAGTTTCATTATTTAATTAAAATTTAGTCAAATTTGATTTGCAACCCGGTCAGCAAAGCAATCGTGGCAGTTGAAAGTTGAATGTTGAATGGAATTTCTGAAATCGAATTAAAGCATGCATGGGAAATTGAGCAGCTTACGGGCTAAGCCCCAATAAGAAGAATAAATACATTAATTTCAAATCACATTCTATTTGCAAAACTAGAGGTTTTAAAGAAATTGCATTTAAATGGAATAGCAAGTAAGCAGGGTAATCAATTTAAAAGGCATTTTACATAACAAAATAACAAATAAAGAAGTTTATTAAACTAATACATTTTGTAACAGTTGAGAAGGTTTAGATTGGTTGTAAAAAAGTCTATTCTTTGCAAATCAGATTTAATTTTGAAAATTCAAGACGTCGAAATACAGTAATCACGAAAATGAAAACAATTCTTAATCCATTTGGAAAGGAACAAAGCCGTGATAGGTCTTTAACAAAATTTTGCAAATAAAAATAGACACATCCCTAATAATTAGCCACTTAAAACCAAGTAGTTCGATAATTTCTCTATCCGGAATAAACATATGATATAGAGCACTGCGATAATTGTCATACTGAGCTTAAACAGCCCAGAAAAGCCACTCGAAAAGTTGTCCGGTCGGAAATCGGGAAACTATTAAGCGTCTTGTTGATCATGTTGAGGGACGAAGCCACCGCATCGACCAGCGGATGTTCACGGGAGGTGGGCGGTGCTCAATTGACACCAGGCATCCCACAGCCCACTTCAGGAGCCTCGCCCTCCCATCGCTTAAACCCCAACGCACCTGTATTTGTGCCGGACTTCCAGACAAGGCAAGTAGCCAAGAAGCTATTCGATGACTGTAAGTACAATTTCCATATATTCTTTAATGAATTAATCAAAATATTTTAATTAAAGTAACTATTCCAGTATCACCCTACACCCGCTGGAGCACAGCTTCGTCTGATGAAACCTCCTATGGACCCCGCTACGAGTCCATTTGGCGAGAGGTCACTTTCCAGGATCACCAGCGTCTGCCCAACCCACGCTTTGATTATAGTCTGAATCCTTCCGAGAATGAGGTCGGTGAACTGGAGTTTGATGAAGTCCAGGCCATGAATATAGGAGCCGAGTCCTATGATCCCCCAGCACGTTGCTCTGTAATAAACGATGTCTCTGGATGCCAACGATATTGTAGGTGATCTACAATCTCCAATGGAGGAATCTTTGGACGAGGGGAAAAGTAATGGCTTTCAGATCCGTCGCTCCTTCAAACCTAACAGAAGATGCTGTCTGCTCATGTAGGCACCAAGATCTAGCGGATTTCATTCATATTCCATTTATAGTTTGAAACTTTTATTCCGAATTAAAATCTTTTATTATTTTCTAAACACACCACAAAAATATGCATTCCACTTTTAAAAAACAAATAGAATATTGAACTTTATTAATTTTATATCATGCTCAAGAAAATTTTACGAAACGATTCAAAAATTTTTTACTGCAAATTAAATTCAATATTAAAAGGTATTAGTTTGATCCTTATAAGTCAATTTCTTTAAGACGTCGCCTTAAATGTTCACAATAAATTAAATTTTCAAGAAATTTTCTAAAAGCGTTGCAATTAAGACGCTTTTCAGAACTTTCTAAATACACTCCTTTCAAGCCCACTTACGGCTGACTGAGAGAAAGGAAGCTCTATGGAGAAAGGTCGACTATACCTATGACATAATTTATAGCCTACATTTTAGCGCCCTAAACGGGTTTGTTTTACTTTCGACGAAGACTCTTGCCTTGCTGCCTTCAGCTACTTTGTCCTGACTTTCTAATGATGTTGAATATGCATGAAAAGTTTCGCCGCACGCAGAATTTTGCTCCATGGATGGCAGCAGAAAACTTGATTCACCTGTCTATGGGTTGCATTGCTGCAAGACCGGCTTTCCTTTAAATCACACTGCAATCAATTTCGTTAATGTCATTTCCGGAAATATACCACTAATTTATACTCCCTTAAATTTCGAATCTAATTTTATTAGTAAGTTCTTTCCTTGCTTACTTTAAACTTACATTAAATTTTTAAAATAGATTGAATAATTTTTTTGACTGCACACTTTTGCCATTGTCTGTAAAACTAAGTGGCGACAACTTTCCATTTTTTCGCTTCTTGATTATTTTAGTTTCAGACATTTTTTGGATAAGAAAGGAAAACTCATAAGGGGGTTGAGTCTTTATGGTTGGGTGTGTGTGTCTTGTAATGAGAAAACTTTCATGTCCTTGCCATGTCTCATTTAGAGCTGTTCGGGCACTGATGTCTGATGTCCTGAGCCAAGGATAACGCAGCTGCCCACGACTTTTGAATGATTGCAGCCCCAAAAAAGACACGCAGTGCAGTCGCATCTGCAGTTGCACAAATGCTTGGCGGAAACAATTACCAACTCGTATGCAAAAGTGCCAAAATTGCCAATGGAGGAGATGGGGAAACTTTCACGCCGCTCAATGTCAGCGGGACATGTGAGCAGAAGGACCTCCTTTTTGCTGGCGTCCATACACACCTGGGTCCCCCAATTTCTGGTCCTTTGGCAAGGATTCGCTGGCAATTTTGTGCCAATTTTCTGCGCCTTCTGTTTGTTTATGAAACAAGTCACGTAAACGACGAAACCCGTTCGTTCCTTTGCCCTTTTTGGGGGGCGTTGAACCGCCAACTGGCTAAGTGGGCGTGCCATCACCTTGTTTTTGCCGCTATTACTCTACTGGTTGTTGTCTCGTCCTGGGGCGATTGTCATTGGAATCGAGAATTCAGCAATTGGCAAACGTCACGAAAGCGGCTAAAACTTTTCACGATCTTTCGCGCCCTTCTCGCCTGATTGTTGATTTGGCAATCTTTTGTTTTAGCCCTTTACGGCTGCAACTTTTTCTGTGTTTTTCTTTGATTTCGGTTGCTTTTTCTGGGTTGCTGTTTATTGCATAAAATTTATGCCCGTATATTGTGCAATTGAAAAAGTTTGTCACATTTTTGTGATTTTCCGGCCGCGCTGAGGACGGAACAGTGCGTTGCAAAAGCATACTCTCGTATGCTTTCATTAGTCAAGTTATATAATTTTTAATCATAAAGTAATCATATGAGGTACACTTATATTTTTAAATATAAACTACTTATTTACCCAAAAAAACATATAACATGTATAAATAATTACATTTTTTTAGATTTAATAAAAATTTGTATTTTTAATTTAACCTCATGAAACGTACTGTATGTGACTCTACTAAAATGTTAAAATAAGGGGAAACCAAAGCCTCTGGCATAAACCATTATTTATGCATCGATTTCAAATCACCAAAACAAAATAGAACGGCCAGAAAAAGAAAGTCGCAAATAAACACAATGGCAAAACGGAAGGCGGCAAATAAATAGACAACACAGGAATACGGGCAAACAATGACTGCAATAAATATCCACACATGTGTGCACTGCACACAGTCGGGTTGTCTTTATGCACCTATAAATAAATTCATTTTGTGATATTTATGCCACGATATGGCAACGGCTAAAATGGCAATCAGTTCAATGACCAACAAAAGTTTGTCTTGTCTTTCAGTTTTTGGTATTAGCTGAATATCCTGTGTCCGTGTTCTTGCAAGGGTATCTTAGGCGAGGTATTGGTTTTTTAAAAAAATATTAACAATAATAATAATTTCCCAAAATGTATTAATAACTATGGGGTATCATTATACACGATCAAAAGTCTGAAAATAGGGTATTAGCAAAAATGAGTCTTACTATGTAATTACAATTTCTACGGTACTATCCACGTCCTTTTAAGGACCCTTTGTCCCTACTCTCTCTTTTGCTTCTCTGCTCTTTTATTCACCTTTCTTTTTTAGTTGGCAGCACTTTTAGTTAAATTGAGCAACAAACACGTTTGGCAATAAAAATGATTCCACTTCCAGTTGCCGCTGCCACGCCCCCTATTCCACCCATAAGGACACCGCCCACCGCCTCCTTCAGACATTTTCAGCTTTGGAGTCCGTTTCGAAAAATGCAAGCCGCAATGCGCTGGCAGTGGAGTTTTGCACATTCTAACAGATTTATTTCACTCGAAATAGTTTCATTTTAGTTGCATTATTGTTATTGTTTGCTCGTTGTTGTTTTTACTGTGGTTATTGCTTTTGTTGTTGCCGCTTGCCAGAGTGACTGCGGAAAGTTTTTCTATTATTTTCAAATTTAACTTTGCCATTTGTTTGAATTTCATGGATACACGTACAGAACAGCTTCGGTTGAAGTAATAAAACTGAAAGCATATGTGTTTTTACTATTAGCTTTTTTTTGTTTTATAGAAATATATATCTTAACCCAACAGCAAAATATCTTTAATTGGTAAACACACAATATACCCAAGGAGTTATAATATAGATATTCATTTTTGAATTGCTAAAATCTTGTCCGCATCTGTATGCATGTGCTTGTGGTCTAGTTGGTGTATCTGTGTGTAAAGGGTTCGAGGCATTGAGTTTTACTATTTACCAAGTTTTTCCTATCGGGTGCGTTGCTCCTGGCTTTCCAATATGAAATATATTATCGATGTTCTCAACTTTTCTCAACTGCGCAATTTCCACTCAACTGTTCTCACTTTTCTACTTTTCACTTTGCACGCATATCTATGGACATTTTTATAAGGTTGATATATTAGAAAACTCCAAATCTAAGCAACAGGTTGAAAGGCAAATAAGTACATTGTTTTAACTGACACACATGTTTGTTTCTTGAAGTACCTAATCTTTTAAAACCGTTTATATCTTTCTCTTGGACTATCGATCAAATGGGATCCCTTCTAATCTACCTGCATTCATTCTATCGGCTTCTTTGGCCACCCGTTAAACCCTTTCCGGCTAAAATTTGATAAATCACCATTACATTTAGATGCGGAACAGGAACGCAATGCGCAGCATTTTTAAGCCGTTCGCTGATGGGGTGCACCTGTCCCTTTTTTGGCCTAAATCGGGGTCAAAAGTCCAGTCATTCCCAGCGAAACTTATTTATAGTGGCCCGTGCAATGGCGACGCAATTTATCGTCATTAGCGCGAGCCGCAAACGAAATTTTCACTTGAAAATTTCACGAGTTTAAATGAAATGCCTGCGGTCGTCAGCGGTTCGTTTGGCTCGGTTCAGTACGGTATGGTCTGTCCTGGCCCTTTTCCTTTGTTAATGATGAAACACTGAACAAAAAAATATCGTTTCCAGTTTTATTATTAAAGTAGTAATTTTTTAATAGGAATCTGTTTTTTTTTCTTATACATACATCATGAAAACTCTGCATTGGGAAGAACAATATTATTCCTTCTGTTCCTCCATTACGTATTTCCCAGTGTAGAAAAAAGGATGAGGAGACGACAACAACGACGACAACGGTAATGATGATTACTGACGGTTTTAAATCATTCGCTAATTATTGCAATTGTTGCTCTCCTTGGCTGTCCTGCCCGACGTCCTGCTCCTTCTGTATATATCCTTAAGGCTCGACACCGTTGATAACGATCTCACTTGCCCTCCAACCGAATAATTGATGATGGGCCCACGACTCAGACTGGTAATCAAATACCCAAAGAGTTGATTCGCTTTTTGAGAAATTCGAGTGGCCGCAAAACAAACAATTTCCTCAGGCGAAAAGGAGAGAGAGAAAAAAGAAAATGCGAAATTGAAAGCCAGGAGTCGAGGCGGTGTAGCCATTGCATGTGAGTGCGAAACCCCACAGCAATCAACCTAATTTATTATGACCCCCTTGTAACCCAGCGAAACTCGAACCGCAGAGTCAATGGCTGTCATGAATCTATGAATGTTAATAATTTCAATTGCCGTTTGGCGAAAAGCGAAATGCGAAATGCATCAGCCGCAGCAGAGTTGCTGCCTGTGCGTTTGTGGTGGCAACCCTGGCAGTCGCTTTGTGGTTTCAATTTCCTCGGTTACTTTGAAGCCCTTGAGTTTGCAAAAAAAAAATTATATTTTAAATTAGCCATATTTTGTACCGTTTGTGGTTCCGTAATTTGAGAGTTATTTTCTGTCATTGAAAGTTTTAAATGAAAGTGGGAATGAAAATTAGCCAACTAATGGAGGGTATTTTAAAGGGTTATATACTCGTAGTGTGGATAATAAATATCATAATTATTATTTTTCAACTGAAAGGCCAATAAAAAAGCATTTAAAAATTTAATAGCAAATCCTTATTTCAAAATAACTTAATTTTTATTGATTAGACTAATTGTTCTTCAATTAAGAGATTTTAAAAAAATAAATTCTAGACTCTTTGGAATGCAGGTCAGATTGATCAATCGGTGTTCGTGTAAGTTCTTGGCCTTTCTTCAGTGTAAAGGCCACACGTG